GCTGCCTCAGCTTCCTCAAGTCACGGGTTCCCCTGCAGAGAGAACTGACCACCACAATTGAAAGAACACCACAAAGACCGCAGTAATGAAAGGGATAGGTTAATGTATCTTAATATAGCAAATAATTCTACATGGAGAACCATATGACATCATTGTTTTTTAAAGAAATCTCCTTTACTGCCAATGAAGTGGGAATTACACAAATCATTAACAAATCACAACATGTTTACTTCAGAAGTTTCCTTGTTCCTATTGCGAAAGACTCATCCTGTGCGAGCACTTCAGAGCTGAGTGTGCCAAACTCCCTGGTGGAATGTGGGCTGACAGTGCTGGAGTGTGAAACAGGAGCACACCTGCCAGAGAGACCCTCCAAACATCTTCTATCTGCTGAGGCATCACAAATAAATGAACTGCAGAATCAAAGAATGGATGAGGTGAGGAGGGGTTATCTACTCCACCCTGCCCTGCTGAGAGCAGATCAACTACAGCAGGTTGCTCAGGACTGTGTCCAGTTGGGTTTTGAATATGCCCAGGGATGGAGACTCCACAGTCTCTGTGGGCAGCCTTTTCCAGCATCTGACCATCCTGAAAGAAGTGGAAAGAAGTACATCCACTGGAGAGTCTAAAGACAAAGAATTTCCCACTGTTAAGGATATTATCTTGAACTCCAGATAGAGAGACTGAATTCCCTGCTATCTTGTTGGCGTTGGACAAGCAATTTTAACTGTCTCAGTTTTCCTGGTAGACAAAGACTGCAAGGTGTCTGCAGTCAGTAAAAACTGAGAACAAAGGGAACCAGAGGGTGACAAGTTTGGTCTCTCTGCAGAGAGAACTGTTTCCAAAGGCATTATTGGTCATGTAGATAAGTAACATGAGTAGTATCCCTAACAGTTATGTGGTCAGCTCATTTATTTAATTCAGCTACAGAAGGGTTCTTCAACTGAGATGAGGGGTTGTAGGCCTAAAAATTCTAGCCTAAGGATGAGGCACTTGTTTTTATTTAATTTGAACTCAGCTGGAGACAAAAGGCCACTTTAATTTACTGTAGTGGTATAATTTTACTCTGCCAACCCATATTTCCTGAGTCCTATTAAAGTATGAATTTTATATATATATAGAACTGCTATAAGAACTGGAAAAAAATTAAAACCAACAGCTTCCAACTGACCTCTCTTATTCCCTGGAAGAGCAATGCTAGTGGATCCCATACAGCTCTCAGTCATGAAAGCATTTCTTTTTTGGGATGGTGTGCTTTCATGTGCACTGTACTTAGCATAAACCTCTGTATGAAAACACACAGGTCATTTCACCTTCTCCTGCTGTGCCTTGGCATTCCAGTTTCTTGGTAGATCAGTCTGGATTGTCTGCTGAGGGCACTGATCCCAAGGGGCTCTGAGAGTTAAACTCTGCTTTTCTCCAGGAACGCTGGAAAGCAATGGACCTGCGGTGACACACAGCAAGGTCTGGTTCCTGAATGTGCCACAAACTCTTTATCTTAGGGAGACTCACCATTTCTGCCTGTTCTCTCACATCTACCCAGAGCTTTTCTTGTGCTTTTTCACTAGCTGAGCTTTTTCATTAGCCTGTGAACTGCTCATATGTCACTGCCTCTTGCCTTCCTCACTTTGCTGAGAAGCTTTGCCTGCACAAGGACTGCAGGATGCCTGATGCCTGCACTACAAGGCAGCATGCAGGACTTTGTGTGCCATTAGAGGACACATGGCTCCCTCAGCATGTTGTGCCACAGCAGGCAATGTACTTAGTTGCCTACTTATTGACAAAAGGGAGAAAGATTGCCTTCCCCACTGAGCTTTCGTGCTTTTGGTACAGATTTATGCTTGAACACAAATTATCTGAGTTACAGACATGCCCTTTAGAAAATCTGCTTAGAAAAGGAGCAGGGGGGAATATAATCTGGAAACAATCTCCAGTAATTGACAGGAATTGTCTTCTCAACAAAAAAATGCCACTTGAATTAAATAATAAAAAAAAAAAAAAACAACAAAATCTGAGTTTTAATCTCAAAACCATGAGCACAAGCAATAAAAGCAAATAAGTGGAGTCTTCTTTCTCCTACTTCATGCATACAGATGTATGTGGTGCAGCAGAACTACTGCTGTACTTAAAAAGTGCACATTTTTGCATAACCAGAAGAGAAGATTCAGGCTGCTTAAAGAAGTATAGTTCAGCATATAATGGAGATTCATGCAGAAAATTTAAAAGCTGCAACATAAGTTAAAATTCAGCCCTAAAATACATGAGCTGGATACATTCACTAATTACAGATGTGTAATAACCACAGTGACTTAGATGTTCCCCACAGAGGCTGTTGCTGGAGTGTACTCCACAACAGTGAAATAAGTGTGATCGCACCTGAGTTGGTCCCAGGGCTGAGTCTCATCATATAAAGTTTCTGGAAAAAAAGACTTACAAAGCATTTGAAACCCTTGGTTTAGGAGTTACATAGCCTTTGCTGAAGTCTGTCTTGCAAGGTGAGAGATGAAACATCAGGCACTTTGCTTTCAGTGCAAATGTGGGGAAGACCAGAGATGTGAGATTTCACTTGAAAATGAAGCAGTTAGGGCTCAGACCATAACTGGTTGCTGCAAATATATGTGTACTGCTCATTTACAAGAAAAAAATCATGCTATGGATTTAACTTGGGTTAGCTGGACATTCGTGGAGCAATTCCTTTGCACAATTTGGAAGCTGGAACCAGCAGACAATTTGGATGAGGTCACCCTGCTTTGAAGCCTTTAAAGAGTTAAGCAGTATGAATGTGGGACACTTGAGGCACACGGTAATTGCCAGCAGCACTCTGGGCAACAAGTGAGCCTGTGTGCTTTGAAATGAATAAGCTGCTTATTTACCTGCCTTCCGTGGCACAGCACAGATGAGTCGATCAAAGTAACTGGTCATTTGCATTATTCCTTTTTTTATCTAAAAAAACGTTTTGCTCCTGAAAAGACAAAACGAAACACCCAGGCGTGATTCAAAAGTCAAATACAAGCGGAATCAGAAGTAAATTTAAGCAGCACCTCTCACGCCAGATGAAGCAGTCGCAGCTTCTCCTGCTGCTGCCGCAGAGGAGGATTTTTGCAGTGGTGGATTTTTGCAGCTGTGGGTTTTTCCAGCTATGGATTTTTGCAGTGGTGGATTTTTGCAGCTGTGGGTTTTTGCAGCTGTGGATTTTTCCAGCCGTGGGTTATTCCAGCTGTGGGTTATTCCAGCTGCGGGGCCGCACGGAGCAGGCGCAGGGCGGAGCAGGGCGCAGCGCGGCCGCGAGAGGGCGCTGTGGCCCCGCGGTGAGCGCGGTCGGCGCGGCCGAGGGCGGCGCGGGAGCGGCGGGTCCGTGGGGCGTCCATGGAACGGGGGGAATGCACGGCAAATTCCCTCTGTCCGCCTCCCCGAGCGGCACCAACCTGCTTGGGACTGGGGGGAAGATAGCTACACGCTGCCAGTGTACCACTGCCAGAGGACACGGCAGCATGGGGATGATTTCCACACAGTTTTGTGAAGAATTGAAGCCTGTGAGCAGTGACAGGATTTAAAGGGATGATGCACGCCAGAAATTTGGCCCACTCGAAGGCCACAGGGGCAGAAGAACATCCATGTCTATGTCTACACTTTATTGCTGGATTCTTTAAAAAGTCAGTTTGAATTTGTCATGTTCACATAAAATATGCTGTGCAAACCCCTGTAAGATCAAGGTACAAATTCATCCGTCAGCATCTGGGGACGTGCTCTTTTGACTGGGAGTAACAGATATTACAAAAATCTAACAGAAAATGAATTTTATTTCAATGTCTAGGATTAAATGAACATTTTGCCCTATTGACACACGTCCCTCTGTAACAGTCTGCTGCAAGTAACTTGTCAGGCAATTTGATGTACTCAGTGATGCATTCACTCTCCAATTGGGTATTTCAAAATACAATTTTACAACAGTATTGTACAAACCACTCGTTTTTGTTCTATTCACTAAAGCCAGTGCTGGCTAGGAAAACGAGAGGCTTTGAATCCAGCCCTGAGAGGCAGTAGCCGCAGGACATGGCCTGTGTGGGAAAGCTCGCAGGGAAGAAGTTTGGGACACCCGGCTGAGCAGCGACAGCTGCACCAGGGACCGAGCGCGTCGCTGCCCGCAGTGTCCGTGTGCCCCCCGGCACTGCGGCCGGCCCGGCCCGGCCCGGCCCAGCCCAGCCCAGCCCAGCTCAGCCCAGCTCAGCCCTGCCAGCTCAGCCCTGCCAGCTCCTCCCGTGGAGGGACTCGACCCTGCCCTCCCAGTAACCCCGCACAGCAGCGCTTTGCGCCCCTTTATTTTCCGCGTTCATTTTATCATTGCTGTGACTTCCGATATCCCTGTAAACCGAGACCCATGACCAGTTCATTTCAAGCCTGAACTGAAGCCTGCTTCTCCCGGTTTACAATTCCTCCGCTCCCTTTTGGCCAAGAGCTGGCGAGAGGTGAACATGATGATTTTTTTAAGGAAGGGAGTCGAGCGCTTTTCCAGTAGCACCCAGCGGACGCTTTCATTTAATTTCATTTCATTTTATTCAACTGCCTGCAATACTCTCTGTTCACTTTGCCCGGGCTTTAAAAGCAGCACCAGGGACGCAGCGGCGCCTCCCGTTCCTCTCTGGTGCCCGCCCAGCCTCTTCACACCGGCCATCCCGAGCGGCGAGACTGTGCCGGGGACCGGTCCTGCCCTGTCCTGGCGCCGAGCCGGGATCCCCCGGGGCCGGAGGGCTCAGATCGGGGGCAGGGAGCTCCCGGCCGCCCCCGCCGCGACCCTGGGCCCGCCGCCCCGGCCCGGCCCGGCCGCTGCCCCGCCCGCCTCGGCCACGCCTCCCGCCCCTGGACATCCACCAATCGCAGCGCTCTCCGCCGGGGATGACCTCACTCCTTGCCTTCCCATTGGCCAGCTATATTAAGAAAGTCGCGAGCGCCTTTAAATAGCGGCGCCGGGCCGCAGCTTGCGGCAGTGGGTGTGCGGAGCTGGTCTTGGGTGCGTTTTTGTCGTGAAGGCGAGAACCGGCGGCACCGCTTCTACCGCAGGGCTCTGGGTCCAGCGGCGCTGCCCTGTGGCCGTAGCGCTCCCGCGAGGCAGGGGACGGCGGCGCGGTGCCGGTGAGCAAAGAGAGCAGGGTGCGCCCGCCTGCCTGCGCGGGCCGGCTCGCCACGGTGCCCTGTGAGAAGCGAGAGGGAGCGGGAGGCGGCGGCCGCGGGGAGGAGGGCGCTGCCATCGTCCTGCTGCACGGCAAGGCCAGCTTGGCGAGCCTGGCCATGGCTGCCATCCGCAAGAAACTGGTGGTGGTGGGGGACGGTGCCTGTGGCAAGACTTGCCTCCTCATCGTCTTCAGCAAGGACGAGTTCCCCGAGGTCTACGTGCCCACCGTCTTCGAGAACTACGTGGCGGACATCGAGGTGGACGGCAAGCAGGTGGAGCTGGCCCTGTGGGACACGGCCGGCCAGGAGGACTACGACCGCCTGCGTCCCCTTTCCTACCCGGACACCGATGTCATCCTCATGTGCTTCTCTGTGGACAGCCCGGACTCGCTGGAGAACATCCCGGAGAAGTGGGTGCCCGAAGTCAAGCACTTCTGCCCCAACGTCCCCATCATCCTGGTGGCCAACAAGAAGGACCTGCGGAACGACGAGCACGTTCGGAACGAGCTGGCCCGCATGAAGCAGGAGCCGGTGCGCACCGAGGACGGCCGGGCCATGGCCATTCGCATCCAGGCCTACGACTACCTGGAGTGCTCGGCCAAGACCAAGGAGGGTGTCCGAGAGGTCTTCGAGACTGCCACCCGGGCAGCCCTGCAGAAGCGCTACGGCACCCAGAACGGCTGCATCAACTGCTGCAAAGTGCTATAGGGCGTGTCTGGAGCGCGGCGCTGGGCACAGCGCCTGGGTCACCTGTTGGCAGGTGGAGAGGAGCTGGGTTGTACACGCACACGGCATCTGCCCGTCCCCTCCGCTAGGGACTGGCTGTGCATGGGGTGGGGGCTGAGGGAGGGAGCACGCTCCTTGAGCCTTGGCCAAAAAGGGTTGTGCTTGCTCAGCCGTGGGGACGGAGGGAGGGGGGGATTGCATGCCCTGAGTCTTGGGAAAAAAGTGGGGAGAAGCTTTCTCCTACCACTGACCCCTGCGAGTTAGTCGTGGACTCAACAACAAAAAGCTGCTGAGACTGGACTGAGCGATCGTTGCACCCGGTTCTGCCCCTTTGCCAACACCTGCTGCTCCCTGCTCCCGGGCAGCCTCCTCTCTTTTGCAAGAGGAAGGCGGCGGAGCGGAGATGCTCGAAGGGACTTCTGCCTCCTGCCTGCATGTGCCTCCACCCAGGCGAGCTGGGGAAAGGGGCTGCCTCTCCCAGGCTGCCTGCGGCATCCTTGCTTCTCCCTCACATGTTTCAGCCTGAGCCTGACCTGCTGTGGAAATTAGTGCCCTGAAGACCGAGACTGGGAGGGGAGGGGAGGGTCATCCCAAGCGAAGCCTGTATATATGTTACCTTTTTTTGTCTTGTGCAAACTGGGGTAGTGCAGGGGGTGCTTACTTAAAGTGAGGTGGGGAGGGGGTGCCCAGGTGGGACTTGTGTTGTGCAAAGGAACTTGCCCTGAGTGACTGATGCCTGCTGATAACAGGAGCCATGAACTGACTCCAGCTGCAGAAGCCACCAGGCCAGAAAGTAAAGCTGAACTGTCCTGCTTGCTGGATATCCACCTCCTGACAGATGAGGCAGGGTGAGCAAGGGGATGATATTGCCATATTATGATTTTGGTGCCTGCTCCTTACTTTTAATGTTGTCTCCTGCAAGTGTGTTGATTTGGATTTATTTAAAAGTTTATTTTCAAAAGATGTTACTTTGCACAACTCGGTGGATTTTTTTATGTTTAAATTAAACACTCAATGCACTCATCATCTGCATACAACACTGTAGCATTGGAAGCATTCTTACTCAGTAACCTCATCTGGGTCTTGTTTAAAACTGATTTCAATACAAGACAAAATAAAACCACTGTATATTTTTGCCTTGGAAAAAAAATGTGTGAAAGCACTGTTACTTATGCAGTGAGTACATCAGACTTTAGTACTAAAGAGCAGTTTAAAGAATCAAGGTTTATTTAAAACTTATTTTCACTAGGTGGTCAACCTGGGTGAAAATAATTTTCTGTTTCTCTGGTTCAGAGAACAAATGTATCCATTTATGTTTGTTTACTTTTCTCCCTCTTCCCTCAACAGTGGTACTGAGACTGTTTTTAATAAACTGACATGGCAAAAACTGAGATGTATATGATGTTTACATAAAACTATAGTGTATGCAGTTTTTTATGTAAAGTATTAAAAGATTCTATGCTGACACTTGTGAGAGCAGTGTTGTGATTCATGGAGATGGTCCTCTGGTTGCAGCAGTACCCCTGGATAGAGTTGAACTAGACCAGAGTTTGCTTCTTGCCTACACATTCGTTTATTTGGCTTTTTTCCACTGGCTGAAATACCTGTCTGGCAGCTTTTAGAGGATGGTGGTTTTAGTTCCCTTTGGGGGAGCTGCTTCCTTAGTGTTTTTTTTCTGTGTGTGGCATATGGAAATGTACTCAAAAGTCACGGTGGTGACTAATCCATCCTTGTTGCCTTGAGCACGGGCAGCCTCTGTGGCTTGTGCTTGGGCTCCCAGTGAGCTGCTGGTGCAGCAGAACAGGCACAAAACTGAAAAGCAGCACCAGCTGTAAGGATTATTTTTCAAGGAAGTATCTAGATAAAAGCAGTTTTTATTAGTGGTCTCCCCTTTGCTTGAAGTGCATGGCCCCACTTGCTGCAGCAGGGCATGGGGGCAAGCACTGCTCTCTTTTGAACCAGGAGTCTCCAGAGCTGCCTGGATGGATTTCCCAATTGCTGGCCTCATTAATTCCCGTGGCAACCTGAGAACTCTGGGCCTCTCCGTGTCAGGGATCCCCAGCAGGGCATTGTGTCTGTCCCTTCCCTCCTCATGCCTGGGCAGGTGCCCAAGGCCCTGTGCTGCTGCCTGTGGCTTTGCCTCCTGGCAGGAAGAGGTGGCCTCATGCAAAATGTGATTGTTGCTGAACAATATGACCTGTGCCCAAAGCGCTGATGTCTCCTATTTTTTTTTCCCTGGAAAAGCTTCCTTGGATACCTTCAAGGGAAATCGCAGGACAGGTTTCTATTTTCATTATCTTCTCTACTACTTTTGCAGAGCTGTGAGAAGAGAGTTGAGCTTTTTCTGGTTTTGACTATGAATATCTGCTAGGGTACATATAGTTCAGAAATGTTAACAAATGTTAACAAATACCAAAGCAAGGGAAACACAAGGAGTGTCTTTTGCTCATTTACTCACAAAGGGCTGAAAGTGATGGGCCTTTTCAGGCAGACTGACATAGAAATAACAGGTTCCTTGTTCAACACCTGCAAAGTCAATCAGCCTTAATGTGAAAATACTGGAGTACATGCGCAGTCCATGCTGTGAGTTTATTACACTGTTTCCTATGATCCTTAACAAAAGACAGACTCATTTTCACATAGGCAATTTAATCAGGATTTCTTGAAAGGTACTGAAGTCCTAGGTTTTGGATATCCTTCTCAATTCTCCTGATATTCAAATTTAAATTTCAGTTCTCTGGATAGTCAGTGTGTGAGTTTCTTATCTTCAATTTGAGAACACTAAAATCAAACTTCTTTTGAAAGAGATCTCAGTTTTGGATGCTTAAAGGGCCATGACCAAAGGGGCCCTCATTCTTGCAGAGGCACTCAAATCCCCAGCTCTGTGCAGAGTAACACTCTTACATGTGATGCCAGCCATTGATGTTAAACCTCCACTGGAAACCTCATTAAAATGATTGCAATAGCTGAAAACCTTATCAATTCAGTTAGACTGCAGCAATAACTAATCTTCTCAAAACCCTAAAGGAGAAACATTAATATTTGTATTTTAAACACTGGGAAATGGGTTAGGATTGCATCCCTGTATAATTAACTATACCAATATTTTCCACTGAGGTGCTTACAAGGTAATTACATTCATTATTTCCAATTGGATCTTTGCCCAAGTCAGGGATACAGCCTCTGGCCCAAGGGGGAAAAGCTGCAAGAGAGCACATTTTGGTTTTAGCCGAGCATGACCTTTCTCTGCTACCCGTGACGCTGAGTAAGGCATGGGGATGAGATCACTGTGGGCGTCCACCCATTGGGGTCAGATGGTGGGATCAGAGCTCTAACAGAACTCCTTTACTTTGTGTCACGTTGCTGGGCTTGCTTTGGTGGAGGGGAAACATAAGGTGTGGCAAATCCCACCCTTCATGACTCCAACACCCAGACAAGGCCAGGGCAACACCCCACAATGTGAGAGTGTCACACTGACCACCTCCATCTGACACCCTACAGCATGAGAGTGTCACACTGACCACCTCCATCTGACACCCAGACAGGGCCAGGCTGACACCCCACAATGTGAGAGTGTCCCACTGACCACCTCCATCTGACACCCCACAGCATGAGAGTGTCACACTGACCACCTCCATCTGACACCCCACATTGTGAGAGTGTCACACTGACCACCTCCATCTGACACCCCACAATGTGAGAGTGTCACACTGACCACCTCCATCTGACACCCCACAATGTGAGAGTGTCACACTGACCACCTCCATCTGACACCCAGACAGGGCCAGGCTGACACCCCACATTGTGAGAGTGTCACACTGACCAACTCCATCTGACACCCCACAATGTGAGAGTGTCACACTGACCACCTCCATCTGACACCCCACAATGTGAGAGTGTCGCACTGACCACCTCCATCTGACACCCCACAATGTGAGAGTGTCGCACTGACCACCTCCATCTGACACCCCACAATGTGAGAGTGTCACACTGACCAACTCCATCTGACACCCCACAATGTGAGAGTGTCACACTGACCACCTCCATCTGACACCCCACAATGTGAGAGTGTCACACTGACCACCTCCATCTGACACCCCACAATGTGAGAGTGTCACACTGACCACCTCCATCTGACACCCCACAATGTGAGAGTGTCACACTGACCACCTCCATCTGACACCTCACAATGTGAGTGTCACACTGACCACCTCCATCTGACACCCAGACAGGGCCAGGCTGTCACTCCACAGCGGGGGGATGTCACACTGACCAACTCCACCCCACAGCTGCATCCCTCCAAGTGTACCCAGAGGCTCTTGCACCACTGGAGCCAGGCAGGCACCTGAGCTCAGGACAGGTGTCTGACAACCTACACCCTGTATTCAGACAGAGGATTGGTTTCATCTGGACCTCCCCTTGCTTATCTTCATCTGGCCCCCTAATTCATATTCATCTGATCCCCCTCTGCCTGCTGTAACCTTTTGGCAGGAGAAGCAGAGATGCTGAGCAAGTCAGAGCAAAGAAAGGTCAAGCAAGCATTGACTCACCTCACAGTCCCCGTGCACACTGCTGGGCACAGAGGCTTTTGCCAGCTGTGTCCACACACTACACAGATGAGTAAGTTGAGGAAGGTTGTACCTTCCCTGATTCTGTTCAAGATGAGTTCAGCTTCTATTAAAGTTCTTATGCAAGCCAGAACCCTGTGATGGTGCTGTCACTTCCTTAGCAGCAAACTCTGGAAATGCAGAGGCACCTTGCTGAAAGGCTCACTCATCATCTCCATCATTCTCTGTTTAAGAGAGGAAACCACTTGTGCCCTCCCACAAGGTTCCCAGGCTGAACCCTCTGGCAGTGTGAGGGTGTCTTGTCAGGGCAGACTGAAGATGAAGCCACCCAGGGCAGGTCAGAACCACCTTTTGCTTTTCTTTTCACTTTTTACCCACAGCAGCTGTAAGTAGCCCTTGCATGATCAAATAGAGGATCTCTGTGTGGAAAGCACACTCCATAGGGTATGTCAAATACAGAATAAGTCATCTTTGGTGGGAGAAAGAAGTCATTAAATCTCCTTGGTACTTTTGGCAGAATATTTGTTGAAGCA